CAACGACCCCAACGACAAGCAGAGGAGGGGTGGAGGGTCCCAGGGCCCGCCAACGAACAGAAGAAAGTGGTGGAGGGGCAGATACCCATTGCAACGCAAACGTGGCAGCGACGCAAGCACGGCGACACGAGCACGGCCGTGGCAGCAGGTGGCTCGTGCACAATGGGGATGACCAGGTATACCCAGAGCAGAAACAATGTGTCATAGCATTGTCAGCGTGAAAAATACTTTCACTAGGGTTTACCAGAACTTGCTTTGTTCAGGATATTCCTATCGTTCAATGAGGGAGGTTCCACTAATCAGTTTCGACTAGAATGGTAATATTTGTAGATGGGCCTTAGACAGAAGTATTGTTCTAAGTTCCAAGATATAAGGATGTAATTGAAGAGTATTTGTATAGTCTTCAATTAGTGTAAGTAAAATGTAATATTTCACTTAAGATAGGCACATAGAATTAATGCCTGGGGATTCGATACTGGACAATAGGTCTTTGATTACCAGGTCGAAATTGGATTCAAACTTCAATTGGTAAGGAGAAGTTTAGATGTTGGAAGGAAGATGACAGATTTGGTGAAGATCTGTTAGAAGAAGATCTTGAAGTTGGTTGCTGTGGACAATGTTGATGTTGTCTGGGATTTGATACTCGACTAATTATTGTCTGGCGATTTCCACAATGACAATAATATCTACTTTGACATTGAGATGGTGGAATATTTCGGCAAGGTACAGGACGATGACAGTTATGACAGGTAGCTTGGTAGTATTTGCATTCGCTTTGGCAGTTAATGGAAGTGCGGATAGTTGATTGACGTTGAAGACGGGAAGTAGATGACAGAGTGCGATAAGACGGAATGGTGTCTGTCAAGGAAGTTTCAGTGATAATTCAATACTGATGGTCTGCAATTGGTGCAGACTGGTTTACGTTGATACGATTGACTGAAGTCAGAATAAGCTTTAAGTAGCTTAGTTTGCAGAGAGATGTCTCTTGATACTGGATAAACTGGGATTGTTATTCTCTTTCTATGGACAATTCGGTCTACTATTTATACTATTTCTAAATGTGGCTGCATAGGTGTGTGAATGTTTCACATTTAAGCCAAGGACTTGTTTCGTGTTTCACATTTTAAGCCGAGGGCTTGTTTTGCACAGCATTGCACAGCATTTTATGTCTTTTGAGTTTCAGATTGAGCCAAGAAGACTCAGTTTGAGGCTCAATATTGGTAAGCACATAGAGTTTATGTTCTTGGCACTTATGTGACAGTGTTTTGGATGTAAAACTTAGTAAGTGTCTGAGTCAGCCTGTAAGAAAGATGACCTAAGCATTGTGAAAGTATAGCAAGTCTTTGGGAGCATATTTACAATGATGACTAAGCTGTCGTAGACTTGACTAATCCATATGTGTCAGATCACATCCTTTGAAACATGGTCATGTGTCTTTATTGATATATTTTTGTGAATTGATTGCAAGCAGCAAATGCATTGTTTTAGTCAAAACAATGTTGAAGCCTGACAGTGTGTTGTTTCTGCTCATTTTCTGTTTATTTCACAGCAGGTGGCTCTACTAGCCACCTGCCACATGTATATATTTTATTTAGATTTAATATGTTTTTTTCGTGATTTTTTTGTGTGCTGTGAGGTGCCCCCGAGCTTGCTGGACGTCATGCCAGATGATGGCGAGAGCATTACAACCAGTGTGTCATTGTCATTACAGCATAATCTAAAAACAGTGCCAGGGCCCCGAAAAAAGGCTGCGTCATCCAAATGCACTTGGCCCAATCCACCCATTCCCGCCCCCTGACAATGGGGGAAACAGTGCACAACGATGAGGAAATATGTGTTTCCTCATCGTTGGCGCCTTTTCCCTGTTGAAAACGGCAGTGGGAGTGCCCCAAATGATGAGAAACAATGCTCAGGCATTGTTTCCTGTGTTGTTTGCTTGTGTTGACAGGCCCTGCCCACAGCATTGAGCTCCGGCATGCACGGCAACAGCCTCTCTGTGGGTGGACTGTATAATCACAGTCCTGACATGTGAGTATACACTGGTTAAATACAGTGTTTGATATATTCACCTGGCTTATAGAAGTGGGAAATGAGGCTTGAGAATGTCATTAACCTTGTAGGCCCTTCCTCGGAATTATGGCCCGTTTACTTGGGTTCTCAGTCGTCTTTGGTATGCTAGGCATTTGCGAGCGTTAATTTTGAGGACAGTTGCGACATGCAGCACCTCTCGGAAGCTGCACTTTGTGATAGCACCAGTAAGCACATTCCACTTATCATCTATCCAGTCACATTTAAACTGAGATCGTCAAAGTGATGAAATGAATCTCTTACCTGACAATGGTGTTCCTTCCTGCTTCCTTTGTTTCAGTGAGTCCAAGTCCACAGCTTTAGATGCTACAAGCTTCCGCTAAACAAATTTCCATAGACGGCCTTTGGGATGAACATTGTGGATCTCCAGGACGGATCCTACAGAACATTATCCCATTATTTTGAGGTCGCCTTGCCGCTCACAGCTGTCACCATCTGGATCATCATGGCTCTTCATACAAGCAAGGGGGAAGATGAAAATACTTTCTTGCAGCACCTTTGATGGCCCATTTGCTCTGCACAGCAGGCCTTCAGGTTGGCCATCAGGAAGCGGAAGAAAGCGAACACAGGGGTTGTATAATGGTTGAGGTGTAGCGTGGAGTGGCAGTCTAGTCCATAGCGGCGTCAGCCTTCAAAGGACATCAGCTTTTTTGACACATCAGTGACAACAGGAGAGTCATGTAGTAGCCTCGGAATAAATAAGAACCTGCAATGGGTGTACAGCCATGTAGGCTAGAAATATACATGAAAGTAGGCTACTGGCAATTCTCGGTCATAAATCATAGCTGCCAGTTGGCAGCCAGGCCTTTTTCTATGTGCTGCAGGATTTGCCAGGGCTCGGGACTGTCTGCCAACACTGTGGGGACAGTAAACAATGACCAAACAATGCTCGGGGACATTGCATAGGGTCCTCGTCATCATGTGGGGGGTGGGACAGCTGG